GCGTAGATTATTTGCGCTTCGTCGTACCCTGAGGCGGCCTCATTTGCTACCTGCATCTCAACCGATGCAGCCGCTGTTTGGCTCGGCCAAAAGCCTCTCGCCTGATGTTGCTAAACGACTCTTCATCTATGCCTACGTTAAGACGCAGGCTGGTGATGACTCGCCATCTAAATGAATTCAGACCCTCATTTTGAGCCTTCAGCAGCCCGATCGCATACTCGGGAGATTTGTCCGCGCCGCTTGAGAAGGAAGACCGTCACGCTTGTCAGCCATGCGGCTGTTCCCTCTTCATTACAATCTACAAGGAGCAAACCTGGCCTTAAGTAGACCCCGCCAAACCCTATCGGGTGTGTGCAACCCCCGAACACCTCATCCATGATGGCGTCTTGGAGGGTAGTCAGAATAGCTGGGGTTGTGTCCCTGCCTATCCCGCAGTAGACCGACTCGAAACCGACCTGTTTCTCTCTCGGCTATGGTGCTGCCGGATTGTGTATTCGGATTTGCCTCAGGTGTTCTTTGCCTCCTCCGTTCTTTACCGGGCTAATTTTCAGCTGCTTTTCTATCTCGTGCCTTGTTCGACCCCCCTTCTCCTCTCCGCTGCTGTCTTTCCCGACTGCTGCTATCTGTTTCACCGCTTCCCCGCTAATCAGCGGGCGCGGTTTTGCGATGTTGCTTGTCTCTTCTTTTCTCGGCTTCTAATCCTTCCATGTGCTCGAGGGCCTTTTTGCGTGCACCCTCCGGCGTTTTGCCCTCTTCCAAGATTACGAAGGTTCCACTTGACTGCTGCACCGCTGTCCTTTTTGTCTGAGAACGTTGCGTTCCACGAGGAAATCCAGGTTCTCGGCGTATACCATTGCTGGTGTATGGCTCGTCTTCAGGCATCGCATGTTCAACGAAGAGGACCAGCTCTTGTTACGTCAGGATGCCCTGATGCCTAATTTTAGTTGTATTGTGTTATTGTTATTTTGCTTGATTTTACTCATCTTGTTCTTACAACCACCTGTTCATTTTTTTCGTTGGAACTCAGTCGTCGACCGCGGTAGAGCCCTGTGTTGCGGCAAAGCCCCATTTAAGTCCCAAGGCGGCCCGGTGTTGAGGCGCCGTTCAAATACAGCCGGCGGCAAATTGCTGTCCTCCCGGCAGCAAATTGTCCAATGCGGTAGCAGTTCTTGGTCGCTGTTCGCCAGCAGCCCTATGCTGGAAGAACAGTAGGGCCGAAGCTGCGGGAGTGGCTGCGTTATCCCACAGACGTGGCCACCCGAACAGACACATGCTTGTATCAGAGTCCTCGCCAAGGCACGTCATGAGGCATCTATACGAACTGACGGACGAAGTCCAGAGCTTCATACAACAACCTCTTGAGCCGACAGCATACCGACAGGCCATAAACTGCATTCACAGGGAGTCGGTCTAGACTTACATCGACTCCCGACCTGTGAATGCTCCACTCAACTAACGGTTCTATTCTTATGGGTAAACCTCATCGACGGTGCACGCTTCCTGGGCTCCCGTTAGTTGAGCTTGGCGACAACGATTGAGCGACTAGCCGATCTAAGCGGGGTTCTCGATGAGTTTTTAATTGAGTGCTAATTGAATTAATTTTCTTATCCAACTCTGCTGGGAAAACTTTACCTAAAAGTAGATAACTGTACTTAAAAATTAAATATGTATTTTTATATGCATGTATGTATATGTATATGAAAGAAAATAAGAGGATAAGCTTTCAATTCGATACATTATCAACTTCTGGACTCACATCAAAGAAATTTTGCTATGAAAAGAATCTCTTCGAGTAGTTGGAGAGAAGACTATGTTTTCGAAAGGGTGGATCCCTTTCCTCCGAGCTCTTCGATCTGACGTTTTAAAAAGAAATATTCTCTATCTGGCATAATCAACTACATTTACGTTACTTTGATATCATTTGTATGCCCCTTCACAAAGGAGGGAGGCTATTGGACAAGTTACCCACACCAGAAAATGCTTTGAAATGTCAATAAAAATAATAACTGATTTTCTGAAAAGTTATTTGATTTCCCCAGTATATAATTTCAGGAGTTAAAAGCCCTTCCGAAAGGCCTTCCTGAAAGTCAAGAGGTCTTCCACTCTACATTCTTTTCTCCTTTCTGTTTTGTATGGAGTGGCACAAATTGAAGAGCTTCTTCTTTCGGTACCCATGGAAGGCCTTCCAGAAGGGCTTTTATAGGACATACTTAAGCAAGGAAGCACTTTTTTCAGCCCTTCTTGGGTAGGCCTCTTAGAATGGCTTTAATTAAGAAGACCTACCTAATTTATCTTCTGAGTCGTTCCAAATGTACCTAAAATGGTACGTTTGTACCGAATGTACTTTCAAACTAAATAAAGGTACGATTGTACCAACATTTCATCACTGTAGCAGCTGACCGTGTGTGAGCACCGAAAAGCGGTAGCTCAATTAAAAGGTTAATTTACTCAATTAAATTTCCGTCTGAACTTAATAGGGGTATTCCCCGTAAACTCGTAAAATCCTCGTAAAAGAACTGTCAAAATTTGTAAGGAGCTCAGTTTACGCGCACCTCGTAAAATTACTTCGTAAATTCCAGTGTCGCGGAGGTGCGGAACATTTCATACTAAAATGGATGATATAATATTGAAAAAAATAATAGTAATAGTAACAATAATAATAGATTGGCGCTTAGTTTTTGCTGCATTTAAAATACAACATTTAGCACTTTCCAACATGTTTTCGAAGAGCGAAGAGCTATCGCATTTAGCAAATGTACATTTACGCGAGCTCTAAATCGTATGCTTTTGACAAACAGCCGTGTTCCAGTCGCTTATTCAGATCTGTATCTATCACGATCAATTCTCACGGAGAAGATAATAATAATAATAATAATAGATTGGCGCTTACACATATGTTAGTGTTTGGCCGAGCTTCTCCGCTGTGTCGGCCGCTGTGGTGTAGTGGTAAGCAGTGCGCACTTCCACCCCACAGCACCTGGGTTCAAGCGCTGGTCAAAGCAACATCGCAAAAAAATATAGAAAAAAAGGTTTTTTCTTAACAGCGATCGTCCCTCGGCAGGCAATGGAAAACCTCCGAGTGCATTTCTGCCATAAAAAACAGCTTCTCATAAAAATACAATCGCCGTTCGGAGTCTCCGTAAAACTGTAAGTACCTCCG